AGACTAACAAACAAAGTACAAAAGAGACCGATCCGATACATGCGTTGGAAGACTCCCTTATACCCGAAAAACCACCCCCAAAATCACTTAAACGATTCTCGCCAAGCTAAAAAATGACTTGTCGCTCTTCACCTTTTGCATAGAGAAAGTTTTAAGGCCCTCATACGACATGCAAAAAAGTACGATCCAATACATGCGTCGGAAGACACCCTTAGCTTGGCGAGAATCGTTCAAGTAATTTTAGGGGTGGTTTTTCGAGTGTAAGGGTGTCTTCCGACACATGTATCGGATTGGTCTCTTTTGTACTTTGTTTGTTAGTCTCGAAACTTCCTCCCTGCAAAAGGACAAAAGCGACAAATTATTTTTAAAAAAATCGCTCCAGGAACGTTTCAAACTTCAACCAGCTCGGGAAATTGCATTTCATGGTCTTTTTCAATTTTTCCGTACTTTCCCCGCTGTCTAGAGAAAAACGGACTTTACTACGTGATTCTACGGTATAAAATCTATAAAAAACCATTTGTAGTTTTGGTTCCACATCATGGGCCAAAATCGACCTATTTGTAACATCCTTCTTTGCCGAATGCATATATGAGCGCATCGGTCACATTCTTTTATACGAGTTTATCAATTACGCTGATGCTTTACGCTGAACGCATATATGGGTTAATCGTCCGCAAAGGTTAAATGTGATCATGGCAGAGATAAATAATAAATAAATTATTTACCTTAAAGAAGTTTGTCGATGTCCGATGCTCTTCAAAGCCTTTTCCTCCTCTCAGTAATCCATCGATGATTGTTCCTTACAAAGCATTCAATGTAAAAAATTGCCTAAAAATTCAGACACATTTTTGTCTGAATTTTCAGATCTGGGTGCCAGAAAATAATTTCAGACAATTTGTATTAATTATCAGAATAGTTTCTCTGAAAGTTTAGAATAGTGGCGCATCTGTCCAAAATATTTAGAATTCGTGTCCAAAAAATTAGACAACATATTTAAAAGCAACAACTGTCTAAAATTTCAGACATGCCGTGATTTTATAACCCGATGCGTGGATGTTCTCTGCAATTTCTCTGCTTTTTTTAAATTTTTATAGCGATGTTTCATATAAATGCTCAGATATTGCATAAATGATCAGCTGTATAACATCCTGTCGGAATTATAATAGAGCCTTGCCTCTTGGCAAACTAATCAAATTATTATTTCACTGGTGAGTAGAATTTCTTATTGTAAATGAGATTGACTGATTGAACTATATGTTGCGACGTTTTTCGCCGCCGCTCCACCGGAAGCCGGATAAGCCCGGGTTCGGAAGAGCGGAACCGACCCGACCACGAGCAACGAAGACGCCGCTGATAGATGAAAACGTGAAGCGTTGGTTGTTCGGACACGAATAATAAGAGCTACAGCCGCTTTTGGCCAAAATATGCGAAAACGCAACACAAAGTTGGGCGCCAGAAGCGTCAACTCTGCCCCACGCAGAGTCTTTCCAATCGCGAAATCCAACTTCTCACGGCACCAAAAGTCTGATTCGGCGACGGGCTCGGCAAGCTCAACCTACGGAAGAAAGGCAGGGCGGAAAGCTGAATACGCGAGATAACGAGTTAAGGTTAAACGGACACAACGGAATACGCGAAAGAAATAATATACTAGCATTTGCAACATAAAAATAAATAATGGAAGATTTATTAAAAATGCTCGATAATAATAATAATAAAAAGAAATATCAAAAAAATAAAGGAAATAACAAATTGAGTAGGGAAATTTAGTAATTGATAACGAAAGAGATAAACGGAAATTATCGTTGGTAGTCGGTAGTTGGTAGTCGGTAGTGATAGAGAAATGTTACACAATTTAAAGCGGCTCGAATAGATCAATTAAACAAAACAAAATTGAAGAGCCGACGCCTAGCGGCGGATCTCGAGCGAAAATAATCTACGGCACTTTACAATAAATGTAGCTGCTTAGAATACAAAAGAAAATAATACGAATTAATCCATATTCGGCACGCACAACTTATAATGTAGCGGGGCTACCAAGCACGAAAACGCATTAGGCCAACACGACTTTAATTAATAACTAACGAAAATGGACTCTAAGAAATGCGAGAAAAGAAAATAATATCCCGGACTCTGTACCGAGAAAAAAAACAAGAGAACGAAAGGCACCAAGGCCCAAACGTAGGTGAGGGAGGAACACCAGCCTCCTTTCGGCCCTTATCTCGGGGAGCCGCCCCGCGCGCGTATGGGAGACTTTAGGACTCCCGGTGGTTTTCCGGTGCACTGAGGTCCGTGACCTCCCACGTATCCGTCATCCCGCCGGTAGGAGCCCTGCGCCTGCCATTCTTTGCCGCATCTCGGGCATGACATTACAGTGTATCCGGGGCGGCCACAGCGGTAGCAGAAAGTGCGCAATCTAGGGGCTTCGCACTGGTCCAGAAAATGACGGGAGGAACCGCAGTTCCAACAGCGTTTCACCTCGGACACGTTGGCGAGCTGATCCAGCTCTTTCTGGTCCGTCCTGCGCCCGTCTTTGGCCGCAGCGTGGCTGCCGAGGTCCTGCTCCGCTGATGGCGCTGGTCGTGGCTCCTCCAATGATGCTAACTCGTCCTCCTCCTCCCGTGCAGGCAAGGGGTTCAAGCCCTCCGTGTCCGTACCTCTATGGGTCATTTCTACGGATACCTGGACGCCCACGTCAACCCCTCGTCGGCGTAACGGCGAGTGCGCGTTGACCTGCGTGCTCGCGTCCCGCTGTGGTGCCCGCGTTGCTGCTGTGACTCCGACGGTGGCAGCCAGCCGCGCTTGGGCGAACTCCTCCTCTAAATCCTCGAGGTAGTCCGGGTGGTACCTCATGAGGAACAACAGCAGGATGACGTGCCGTTGGCAGAATTCCGGTGGTAGGAAGTCCATCGCTCCTGCACTGTCGTACCTGAATCTCCTAATGTGGGGAATCACCATGATATCTCTTAAGATCTTTCACGTGTACTTTTCCTATCGGTCTACCTCCGCTGTCATGTAATTCGTAGACTACCGGTGACAACATTCAAGTAATGGTAAACGGACCGTGAAATTTTGTTGCTAATTTCGCCGATACGTGTTGTGCTGCCGAGGACAAGACATGCTGTCGCTTCAAAACTTTATCGCCAATTGCGTATTGTCACGGTGACGTAAATTATAATACTTCGCCTGTCGTTGATGAACGGTATCAAAATTCTCGATCACCCACGCCTGCAGTAACCGCATCTTTCCATACGCTCTTTCCATCTGTCGCGATTCCTCGATTCCACCGGACGCGATTCCACCGGACGCGATTCCTCGATTTCATTTATCGGTTTGTTTTGATTCCTGACAAAGTTCGTCGGATTCGGATTCCTACCAAAATTCATGAAAGCAAGCGACGTTTTCAACGAAGTATGGTGGGTCGTATTGTACGCGAAACGAAACTCATTGAAGTATCTATCCCACTCCCTATGATCTTTCTTTACGAACGCTGTGATCATCGTTTTGACTACTCGATTCACTCTTTCTACCGGATTCGCTTGTGGCTGGTAGGGTGGTACTGTAGAATGTGCCGTATTCTTCCGCTAACTGCCTAATGTCTTTATTAACAAACTCCGTGCCGTTATCAGTCAATAGTACTCGCGGGGCTCCCCATCAAAAAACAACTAAGTCCACTATTGCTTCGCTAATCGCTTTTCCGGTAGCCTTTCGCAGAGGGCGGCATTCTATCCATTTGATAAATAGATCCTGCAGTACGAGGATGTACGAATGACCTGATTACTGGATGTGAGCGGTCCCATAATATCTGCCGCAACTACCGTTCACGGAGTCTCTATTATCCTATGGCCCATTAATTCCGCTGGAACATTTTGTTCGATTTTGATTTTCGGACATGTCTCGCAACACCTAATATAATTGACCACGTCATGAAACAATTTCAGCCAAAAATATCTAAAAGCGATTCGTTGGTACGTCTTTTCCACTCTAAGGTGCCCTGCTTGAGGCGTATCATGCACTTCCTGAAGAACTTCAACCCGAATTTCTTTTGGAATAACAAGCTTCCATGATCTAAATCGTCAACTAATCGTAATAGTGCTCGATTCGGCTTACGCACGTATAAGTTATCGTTCTCTATTTTTCCATCCCGCGTATCTATTAGATGTTTCCTGTACGTCTTTCACGCGGTTGTTATACCATTCGTCGTCGGTATTCAACGCGGCCACTAATTCTTCCAGCAAATCTTCTACTTGTTCGTATATTCTCGATAGTGCATCAGGTACACGATGCATCGCGCCTTTCCTATGCTCGATCGTATTCTAAGAGCTCCAGTGTCCATCGCGCTAAACGTCCGGTCGGATTCTTAAGGTTGTGCAGCCATCGGAAACTGCTGTGATCCGTGATTACCGTAAATTTATAACCTTCTAGGTACGGTCAAAACTTTTTAATGGACCAAATTACCGCTAAATTCTAATTCGGTTGTCGAGTACTTTTTTTTCGCATCCGAAAGCGCTCTACTAGCGAAAGTTATCACGTGTTCTCTCCCGTCTATCTTTTGGGCTAGAACGGCGCCTAAGCCTACAGCGCTTACGTCAGTTTGTAGGATGAATGGAACGTCAAAATTTGGACACGATAACGTAGGTGGGGATGTAATGCAAGTTTTTAATGTCTCAAACGCGCGTTTTTGGTCACCCCCTCCCCCCCTTCCCAAGATTGTGACTTTTTCAAAAGACGCGTCAAAGGTTTTAATACCGTAGCGCGAAATAAACCGTCTATACCACGAAGCCATTCTAATAAAACGACGTAATTGTTTTACATCACGCGGTGGCGCATATTCAACGATAGGCGCGGTCTTATCCGGAACTACTCTCAATCCTTCTTTTTGCACGAGAAAATCGAGATATTTTACTTGGGCGCGGCAGAATTTACTCTTTTCCGCGTTAATCATTAAACCGGCGCTTTTAATTCGATCTAATACACGCTTGAGCCACGTTAAATGTTCGTTAAACGTACGCGTCACGATCACGATGTCGTCTAAGTATGACTAAACGCGTGAGGTTCCATTTCCGGTCCTATTAAGCGATCTAAAAGACGTTGGAACGTAGCCGGCGCTCCCGTCAAACTATAAGGCATTCGTGTAAAGTGGAATAACTCTCTTCCCGGTACCGTAAAAGCTGTCAATTCGCGGCTATTCTTTTCCAGCGAAATCTGGAAATACGTCTGATTCAAATCAAGCGTGGAAATATATCGCGCGGAGCATAATTTGTCTAATATCGCGTTCATATACGGCAGTGGATAAGCATCCTTCTTAGAAACGCTGTTTAACTTCCAAAAATCAAGGCAAAAACGATATTTTTCGTTCAGCTTTTTAACCATAACGATTGGGCTAGATCACTGACTCTTAGACGGCTCTATCACGTCTATTTCTAGCATTTTCTCGATCTCCTCATTAATCGCCTCTTGGATTTTCGGCGATACAATATAGTACCGTTGTTTAATTGGTGCGTTATCTCCGACGTCAATTCTATGTTTGGTCAACGATGTAATTCCTGGTCTATCCATTTCCATCGAAATTTCGGCTTCTAAAAACTTTGCAACCGATGCTCTTCGTCCGACGATAATTCGCTAAACCCGCAACAAAACGTATTACTTGGTTGTCGTATTTTATTATTCGAGCGTTTTTTTCGCATTTTTGTTCTGCGCGGTTCCGCCGATCGTGCGTCCAATTTTTCTCTTGACGCCGTGGCCACATTCGCTTCGGCCGACGCGAACCTTTTATCTCCTGTCGGCGGCGTAAGGTGCAAGTCGACGTCCCGCAAATGGCAAAACAGTTCCGATTTCGGTATCTCAAACTCGAATTCCTGCAACAAACCGTCCGCAAAGCGCCAAGTTCGACTCGAAAAATCGACAACAATACCGAAAGTTGACAAAAAGTCCATCCCTAATATGCAAGGCAAAGCTAACGATGAAAGGGCGAAAGCACACACGGTTTTCATCCTATTCCGCACAGTGCACGGAAGATTAAATTCGACACGAATTTTGGTAATCTGACCAGTTGCGGTAATCACGCGTCTACCCCCGGTAAACTTAAACAAAAGATTGTCCTCTAATAATTCTAACATCTTCGATTCTAAAAACGCACGTCTCGAACTTGAGTCGACCAATGCCATAATTTCCTGGCCCAAAATTTCTACTCGCAGATACAAGAGTGACGGAATGTCACAATTCCCAAAAGTGCTGTACGACACGGCACAATTCTCTAACTTTGACAAACGTATAGGGGCTATCCGTGAGTTAGGAGCAGAGTCGCCCCTCCTATTTGACTCCCCTATTCTTTTCCCGAGCAATCCGGGCAAATGCGTACAGTTACTTCGACCTTATCGCGCCTATAGCAGTGTAGGCGCGGTGTTTCGATACAATCATGCGCTACATGGTCGACTTTTTCACAATTCCAATATTTTACCGCTTTCGCGCGTGCGTTTCTCGGCGTCGATGTCGAAGGAGCGGTCGACGCAGTTGCAGAGGCCGTTTTCGCCCCTGTCGTGACTTTAGCCTTCGGCGTCTTATCCCGCTTAGCCGGTTTCTTCGCTCGCGGCGTCTTGTCTTTCGACGGGGCTCCATGCAGGTTAAGTGCGGCCAATGCGTCTCTTGTGCGCGATTTCGAGGGCGGACGGTATACGAGATCCGGAAAAAGTGATTTCTCTGGCGTCGGTGGCGCGCGATATCGTTGTCCGGCGGCGTATTGCCTCTCCGAACTTCTCGCGAGCATTTCCAATCCATCTAAATCATCGGCGTCCTCGCATCGAACGTTCCTTTGTATCCGCGGATGTAAATTGCGATGCGCGTAATTGACTTTTTCCTCCTCCGACCATGGTGGCGATTATCGATCAAAACGCGCGCTCATACAAGTAAAATAATTCGATACGGACTCGTACTCGCCTTGCGTCCGACGCATAATCTCGTCTTTCAACGTGAACTGATATTCCGGATCGCCGAATCGTCTCCGCCACGCCGATTTAAAGCTCGCCCACGAAGTAAGCCGATCACGTTTCTCGCGAAACCAATGCAGGACAAATCCCGACAAAAAGAAAAAACATCCGCATCCGAAATAGGGATAAATCAAATCGCGACCTTTCTCAATTCGTAGGAGAAAGGTTTCCGCGTCCTCTCCGTGCGCGCCTGAGAAGTGCAAATTCCACTTCCTCATGGTATTACACACGGCGGATGTGGACGCGCTCTCTCTGGAAACGCTATGAGCCATATCTTCCTGCGAAATGCGCGATCGCGGAGTCGTTCCCCCCGCTAAGTCACGCTGATTCGCGAACGAGTCCCGCGGCGTCGCCCTGGGCCCATCTTCCAAAAGGCTATCCGCCCGGGCGGTCTCCGCGACGGGTATCTGTAATTATTCCCGCTCGGTCATCCCCTCGAACAGGCTGCCCTGCAAAACGCTAGTCGTCCGCAGTTCGTGAACATGACGCCATAATCGAACAGCCAATACCGATTCGCGTCCTTCCAACGATAATCCGCGTGATTGTAATTCCGCGGCCAATTCGTCAGCAGAAAGCGCGAAAATCCACGAGGTTTCCATTTCGCTGTGCTGACTCATTGTGTTTACGGTCGACTGTACCTCGGTAAACACGTACGATCTCAAATCTCTAAACCCGAAAACAAAAATAATGAAATAAAAATAAGCCTCGTTTTAATACAAAGGCTAACGACGCACTTGCTCGGTCGCAATCGCAAAAACTCAATTCTAAACCCACAACTAAGTCGTCCGATCTCGAAATAATAAACAATTTCTCGAATGGTATTTACAATGGAAAATTCCGACACGAATCGCTAAATTTTCTCACAAATCCCACTAATTGATTGTTACGACCATTACGCTAACGATAAGAGACGAATCAACCAATTCCGGTTAACTAGTAAAGCCGGGTCACTAATTTCCCCAATTAACAAACGCAAGGAGATGTACTCCGCTAAAATTCTCAAAAGAAAGACTAACTCACTTAGTCAGCCCGAATCTCGACAAATCGGACTCTTTCTACAAAATTTTTCCAAGCCGTCCCGAAGGACAACTTGCCACTAAAGTATCGCGAACAAAAATTCCGAGTTCTCTCAATTCGTGTTACCACACGCGAAGACACACGGAAATTTCGTCGGCGAATCACCAATTAATACCTCCCGAAATACTTTCAACACTACCGCGTTTTACACGTAGTAATTCCGCGAAAGTAGTATTATGCTGAAAGAAAAACAACTATCACCAAATTCAGATGTAAAACTTAATTGGCACAAACTCTTCAACAAACGGACAGAATGGAGGCACTCCGAGGACAAAATTACTAACACAACTTATAACTAAAATGCCACAAACACACGTCTCGCAAAACAAATTTTCGAATAGAATTTCGTAAACACTCCTTTTTCCAGCGTGGCCCCACGTTGGGCGCCAAATTTTCTCTATGCGACGTTTTTCGCCGCCACTCCACCGGGAGCCGGGTAGCCCGGGTTCGCAAGGGTGAAACCGACCCGACCACGAGCGACGCAAACGCCGCTGATAGATGAAAACGCGAAGCAATTGTTCGGATGTGAATAATAAGAGAGCTATTGCTGCTGCTGGCCGAAATATGCAAAAACGCGACACAAAGTTGGGCGCCAGACGCAGAAGCGTCAATTCTACCCCACGCAGAGTCTTTCCGATCGCGAAATCCAAAATTCTCACGGCACCAAAAGTCGGATTCGGCAGCGACGGCTCGGTAAGCTCAACTTAACGGTAGAGTAGCAGGGAAAGCTGAATACGCGAGATAACGAGTTAAGGTTAAACGAACACAACGGAGTACGCGAAAGAAATAATATACTAGCGTTTGCAACATAAAAATAAATAATGGCAGATTTATTAGAAATGCTCGATGATAATAATAATAAAAAAAAATATAAAAAAAGAAAGGAAATAACAGATTGAATAGGGAAATTTAGTAATTGATAACGAAAGAGATAAACGGAAATTACCATTCACAGTCGAGAAATGTTACACAATCTAAAGCGGCTCGAATAGATCAATTAAACGAAACAAAATTGAAGAGCCGACGCCTAGCGGCGGAAATAATCTACGGCACTTTACAATAAATATAACTGCTCAAAATATAAAAGAAAATAATACAAATTAATCCATATTTGGCACGCACAACTTATAATGTAGCGGGGCTATCGAGCACGAAAACGTATTAGGTCAACACGGCTTTAATTAATAACTAACGAAAATGGACTCTAAGAAATGCTATAGATATCGGACGCGATACGCTAACGCGAACTCTAACACGAATGAGACGGACAGCACAACACGAAATTCCACGCACTCAAATCGGCATTCACACACGCTGCGGTGAATCTAATATCGCGAGACAATTGTTACACTCTATCTCTCTCTCACACACACACACGCTACACGCGCAGACGGCACGAACAGCTGACCGCGTTCACGGCGGCGATCTTTCCGGTGCTTTACATACGCAGACTACACACTTCTAGCCTACCTATGAATTCCGGATTATGGGCGGTATTCATAGTCCGTTCTTATATTCAAGATCGTCTTAAGCACGAACTTATATTCGCTCTCTTCGTCAGACACAATCTATGTGTGACGAAGAGAGCGAATATAAGTCCGTGCTTAAGACGATTTTAAATATAAGAACGGACTATGAATACCGCCCTATAAGTATTCGCACTCGCCTGATTTTGATCGCTCGGTTTATTCTCGCTAAACGCGAGATGTCACTAACGGATGCGGTCGACGGCGCTAACCTATTCGCCACGACCTTTGGCCAAAAGGGCCCACCAAACAAACGCTAAACACTAATCACCGATCGAACGACCTCGCGACGGCACGGGATCTTCGCGAATTTCGTGGTTTACGTAAAAATGTGGCACCCTCACCGATAATCTGCCTCGCGGCTCTGCTTCTCGCTCTCTTTGTCTCTTTCGGTCTCTCTAACGTGGTGCAGGCAGGAGGCAGCTGTTCTTCACGCGACGGCGGCCGGAACGCAACAGGACAAACCCTGGATTTCAATCGATTACGCGTCGATATTAAAATGCGCGGCCGTGACCGCCACTGAAATATAATATAAGTGGAACGCGCACGACCTCTCTACGGGCGGTATTCATAGTCCGTTCTTATATTTAAAATCGTCTTAAGCACGGACTTATATTCGCTCTCTTCGTCACACATAGATTGTGTCTGACGAAGAGAGCGAATATAAGTTCGTGCTTAAGACGATCTTGAATATAAGAACGGACTATGAATACCGCCCTACGATAGATGTCCGCGAGAGAGAGCGCCACAACAAGGATTTCTGTCTTTGTTTGTACAGTCCCATCAAAAATTCTTTTCATAAAGATTATAGGCGCGCTCGGGCGCGCACGGAAAGGATGCCATTGTTCTATTCTTACGTATAATAAACAATAAAAAAATTAAGTAATACTGAATAACATTGACAGCGTGCTCCTCGAACGCGCTTTATAACCAATTAATTCTATTCTTCAGAAAAGAGAAATTGTACTTTGTTTTTTAGTTTTAATTAATATATGAATATACATATAAATTAATAAATATTTATGCAAATTAAACAAAATTAAAGATTTATAAAATATGTAATTTAAAATAATAAATAGTATATAAAATAATATTTTTTATTATTCTTACATTTTATTTGCCTTATTCCAAGTAAAATAGTTTTAATATTAATCACACGTTTAACACAAGTTTAAAATGTTAAAAATTGACAAATAAGTTAATTCTAATATTTCTATTTCTATTTTTATTCTATTTATTCTATTATATTTCTATTATATTAATTCTACTATATTTCTATTATAATTCTATTTATTTATTTATTATACATATGTGTGTGAATATAGAGAAAATATATACAATTTTTGCTTTTTATCATTATACCTTGTTGCAGCATACGAAAAAGATTCAAATAGTATGGCTTAACTTGATGGTACCATGAAGCCACAAATTATATTTTGATCTGAAAAAATTAATAAAATATTAATAATTGTGATTAATAATAAAATTTGTTCTATAAAAATATTAAAAGATTAATGATGCTCTATATATATATTACATTTAAATAAAGGAAGAGAAGTAAAAGAATAAAGGATTAAAAGAATTATACCAAATGCAAAAAAGGAAAGCAAAATATGAAATAAATGTGTAACAAAGTAACGAAAATAATAAGATATATATAAGTAATAATATATAATTCTTATAATAAAGAATGAAAAGAAACATTACAGTTATATAAAACACATGCATATCTTATATCAATATATAAAACATAAACATATCTTATAAAATATATGCAGTGAAAACAAAATATACTCAAACATATCTTTCTTTAAATATGATAAAATAAAATAGTTTTACTTAATTTAGTACGCATTGTCGCTTTTTCGCCGAGATATTCTAATGTGTTTTGTTTCGTATAAGCACAAAGCCTTGTTCTAAGATAAGAATCAATTACAAACTTAATAATGTTTATTTCATGTGACGCTTGACACACATTGACAGTCTGTACAACAGGATGTTCTGATTTAAAAAGCGATTTCATCAAAGGTAAAAAATATGTAATAGCTGCAGAAGTTATTCTGTCTTTTAAATTAATATTTCCATAGAAACCAATCGTGATCTCTGCTTTAAAGACTTTTTCGCAAAATTGAACAATATCAAAAACTACTTTTGATGGCTCTTTTAATTTACCTCTGTCAACGAATGCTAGAAATGCAGAATAACATGTAAAATCAATTTTATTATAGTTATGATGTTTGATGATATTTAATTTTGTCACAATTTGATAACAGTAAAAACAAGTACATTTTTTTAATAAACTTTCGTATTATATATCCTGCAATATAATACAGAATATTTTTTTGGAAAAACGATAATTCTTGATTTTCTAAGGATGCCATTAATTGGTCAAATTGTTCATTTTCCTTTTCATCATACAAATCATTAATGGTTCGTTTCTTTGAGCGAAATTCTAATATTGATGACATTTCAAAATCATCCGATAAACAGTTTGCATTAATACTTGGCTTTACCGAGTTGCGATAAAGAAGTCGTCGTACTGCCCACAATATTTGTAAAACATTAGGATTATTGTTAAACCCTCTGCGAGATCGAAGACAACAGAAATATAATTCTATATGGTCTTAGGAACATTTATAAGTGAGAAAGTACTTTAAAGGATTGTCAAGTTTAGTAAGAAGATCAATTGTTAGGTTTCTGAAACTTTTAAAATTAATTATAAAACCCAAAGCAAAAGTTTTTTTTTATGTTTCAATAAATTTTGTTCTCCTATGGTTAACTGTTGAATATAATTTTCTGAATCTAAAAAAATTTGATTTCAATATTTAAAATTAGACATAGAAAGTGGCGATTTATAAGAAGTACCGTAAGCATTCCTGCTATTTATTATATCAAAAATCCGATCAAACACTCTTATAAATTTGCACGTTGCTTCACTGTTATTAAATTCTTTTAATCCACAAGCTCGTAAAAATTCGATTCCATCAGCAACACCACTGCTAATAGTTTGACTAGCTAAGGAAACTTTCATTTTTTTGTTTTTATATTTGATGTGTGTCGCTGATAATTTGTTAGCAAATTTAAATCTTTCCTTTTGTTTGTTACGTCATGTAGCTTTCGCACATAGTTAAAATCAACTATTCCATCGGATGATTTTATAATCATATCATGAAAAGTATTCGACAAAGTTTTAACATATGACATGGATCCATTATAATATAAATATCAGAACTATGACTAGGATGTTTAAACGCAGTCTTCATTTGATTAATATTAAAATCACAGCCTAGTAGCTCTAAAGAAGAAAAATTTGTTTGTGTTCCATCGCATGTTATAGACCTAACAATTATATTTATATCGTAAAGCTTTTGAATTGCAGCATTTATTAATTTACTTTGGTTGTCAGCAGTTATACCTTTTATAAAAAAATGAGCAATTGGAATTTTGAAACTTGTTGTATAGGAAACAATTTGAAAAGCTAACACTTCTGATGCCAATTTTGAAGGATCAAATTCTAAATTAAATTTTTCTGCTTCTTGTCCATAGTCTACGTAACCATTCACCGTATTTTCTTTATTATCCACCATTTCCTGGGCACGAATAGACATTGCATCGAAAATTAAAGCTACATTATTAATATAATCTAAACGGTAACGCTCGTTTTTTAAAAAATCAAATACTTCTGTTATGAAACCCGCCTTACATGATAAATCACCTATCCATCTTCTCAAAGTTGCTTCATGAGGTAAATATTCTAACTTCTGTCGCACAAAATTATACGCTTTCGGCGAATAAAAATATAATGTCGAAGCGAATTCTTTCATTTTTTCTGAATATTTTCTCGTATTTTTTGAAGTTGCAGCGTTATTTATATAGTTTTTAAACAGATCCAAATTAAATCCAGAAAATTTCTTGAGTAGAATGTCTTCAAGTGTATCGGAAGTTTGAATACCTTCTTTCTTAAGTTGTTTTAGCAGTTGCATAACAGTTGTGAGCTTTTGTTTCTGACGACGATTTTGACGTTGACAAATAGTGAACTTTCTTCTTAGTTGTTGTTCTTTTATAGATGAAAGTACACGCCGTGGAAAAGTTTGAGTACTTGCATTATTTCTCTAAAATAAAGAATATTTTAAAATAATTGAAAGCTAATTATGTGTATATAATTATTTATAGGTGTGTATAATTATTTAAAAAATTCAAATACTAACATATATTTTAGGTGGAGGACTTTGGCATTGAATCCTTTCATCAACCGAAAATGTGTGTGGATGACTTTCCACATTTGAAAGATTTGAAGATTTTAAACTTACTTGCTCTTTAATTTCCATAGAACAAGGTGTTTCAACGTCATACGATTGAAATGGAATCTGTATTAAAAAAATATATCAATATTTTTTATGGTTTATTTAAAATACACAATTCTCTCTCTCACTCTCTCTCTCTCTCTCTTTCTCTCTCTCTCAATATATTATTAATTTATTCCTTACATTTTCAGAAATATCATAGTCGAATATTGAAAGGGCAGCATTTTTATTCAATAATCTTTTGCCAGAAATCAAACGATATGAAGACGTATTGAAGTGATTGCTGCAGATCCGTGAATTTTTTGATATGTTATTATTTGTTTGTATAACAGCTTGCCACTTTTTAAATAATTCTTGATCTTTCAGTAGAAAGCTTAAAAAAATAGTTTTTTTAATCATTATTATCATTAAGTATTTAGAAGTATATAGCATTATAGGTTAAAAAATGTATAAATCGGCTATTGTATTTACCTGAAGAAAGACATATCTCTAATTGGACGCCAAACAGTTTTACACCCTTTCACACAACAATTAAAAACCATTTTTTAATTTAAGTATTAACACTTCACAAATAATATTAATGGATAAACTGCTTTTCAATACTTTTCTTGTTCTTTTGTCTTAAACTGTACTCACATAAATTTCAACCAATAAGCATCAACGAAACAAAGACAGAAATCCTTGTTGTGGTGCTCTCTTTCGCGGACACATCGTAGAGAGGTCGTGCGCGTTCCACTTATATTATATTTCAGTGGTTGTGCCCCCACCACTCATGTTGCTTATGTAGGGACTAGTGACTAAATTCCGTGTCCCACTTACTATAGACGTGTCGAGATAGAGATCGAATCACTCGTGTTTAAAAACAACTTATTTATTTTGTTGACTGTACAAGACGAGAGTCAAGATCACAGTGTTGGTGATTGTATGCTTCCTCGCTTGGTAGAGCTCAAGATCACGGACTAAAAAATAGAGGGACGGAGCACAAGCTGTACCGGAGGAGCACGTTTGCGGCGGGGGGGGGGGGCCGCCATATTCGTTTAGTAATCACCACACATAGAACTCATTATTTGCGTATGTGTGAGAAATGAAAGTCAGATCCTGCGCACAATAAACAAAATAGGAAATAGAAATAGG